CGTATTCTAATCTAAATGACGCCACTTACGCAGTCCAGTTATCATTCTTGACATACACGTGTTTCATACCTCTTTCTTCATATAATATATATATGCATTATTGCACATATGCTGAATAAATATTTCGTCGATTAGATAAAGTATACCTTAGAATACAGATAACCTCATTACCTACTGATGATGAGAATAGAAAAATGTACATATAAATGAAATAATTTAGCTAAAATTTTATATATATATTTATATATATTTTTTAAGTTTTCATATATAAAACATATTAAAATTTTACTAAATTTTATCAAATGTATATAAATATGAAAAATATTATTCAAATTATAATATGTGTAAATAACATGATATTAATTCTAACAAATTGATTATTAATATTTGCATAGTATTAAATTTTTAATTGTTCTTTAATATATAATCTTGAATATAGCTAACATAAGCTAAATTTAAAAGGAAATCGAGATAAACGATTTACCGGCTTTTTTATTTTCAATAATTTTTTAATACCTGCAATTCTTAGCTAATATCAAGATATCAAGATATTATATTAAAGAGATATATTATATAAGATATAATCAAAAAATAAAAATAAATTAAGACATTAATCTTTAACATAAAAGACAATCAAAAGTAAAAGTAACAATATTCAAAAGATTCTGTAGACAATAAAATTATAATTGCGGACTGACATACCTATGTAAACGACTTCCATCTTGAGACTTTATAGAGACGCAGTCACTGAATCGGCGACGTAACAATATCCAAGGGCACTTAGTGAAAAGCACAAAATATCACATCGATTACGATTATGCTAAATACAAGTTATCACAAATTTCACTATAAAGAATAAAAGAACTAATACTGGGAATAATAACAATTGTTAATTATAAAATGAATAGAACCGAACTTCGAACCGATTTCGATGATGAGGTTAGAATCGTGCGCGCACAACGCGCGACAACAGCGATCCTTACGCGACACTTGTTGATTCTACACTGTCAAGAAGACCACTGCACCCGTATGTGCAAACACGTCGTCACATACACACATGAACTTTTAACTTTCTCTCTCTTTTTCTCGTGCACTCTTTCTTTTTTTCTCACATTCTCTTTCTTTCTATCTCTCTTCCTTGTTTACCTTATTTCCACTAACGATGGCGTTTCTTTTATGCCTTTACAATCTTTGATGCGATTGGAACTTATATGTGAAATCACAGTGTCGTTGCTTTTACATGCGAAGAACAAACATCGAACAAGAGAGATAAAGGAAAGAAAAATACTCAATGATATTGAAATGAAAAGAATACGAACAATAGCTAATTCGTAAGTCGAAAATGTAAAAGAAAAAAAATACAGACGTTCTTACTTTCATATGAACGTCAATGGACCGCCGAACGAACTACACACCAGCCGAGTCTCAAGCAAACTGGCAACCTCGGAGTTCAGGACAAGTAAGGCCCAACTTCCCCTTCTTTTACCCGTCTTCTAGCAATATATACTGTCTTTTTGTCTCACTTCTTTCTATAGATTATTTTATTCTTTCCTTTATTCTTGAATGGCTCTCCCTTTCCCTAACATATCGTGGGATTTTATTTATTGTTCACATAAGAAAACAATATAATGAAAGGAATGTTAAAAATTTGGATTCAATTAGTTAATTAAATTAGATTAAAATTATTTAATACTTGATTGAATCAAAATTATAGATTTAAAAATTAATTTTGTTATTACATTTTAACATTGCATCTATAAAGTATGTAAATAGCTTGTATATAATTACATGATAAATATATTGATATAGTTTATAGAAAATTGATAAATGTCAATCAATAATTTATTAAAAACTTGCTTTTACGGTACTATAAAAAATTGATTATAATTTTAAGTTTTCTAAAGATAAAAAAATTATAATCTACAAGTATTGAAACAGGCCCCCAGGCTTTCTCGCGAACCATAAGGCCCAATGTATCCCAGGTAAACAGGATCTCAGAAATCGAAAGAAGTAGTCTCTCTCGCATGGAACATTAGAATGAAACAGGTAGAAAGAGGTAGATCGTATAATTCAAAAATTTTAGAGTTTACTTATTATCATTTCACAAATAATTTTTCGTATAAATATTATCAAAATTAGTATAACAAGAATAGAAATAATAATCTGTAACATAATCTGAATAAATTCAATAAAAAAAATTAAATTAATATAAATATAAATATTATAATATATATTTTAATAATTATTCTAATTTTAAAATTCCAATCTTTATATGTTTTTCAATAAATGTATTTTCTATAATTTAGTCAACTCTAAAAATTAAGCAAAATCAACATGTAATAAGATTAGTGCAATTCTAGAAAATGCATTTTTGTAGACAGAGACCTCCCACAGCGTTGTCTTTTCTTCTTCGAATTTATTCAATTTTAGATATATGTATATATAAATATACACATATATATATAGATACGTATATACATTCCTATTCATCTAATCTATACATATAATCATGTATCATGATTTCTTTAAATAATATAATAAAGAATAAAATGATAATAAAAATTTTTTATGATAATACGAACAAATTAATTATTCAATTTTATTATTCAATATACTTACAAATATCATCATCCATACTTCTTCCCGTTTGTATTTGCATTTAAAATCATAGAAAATATCTCACATGTATTTATTTTAAAAATTGAACACACAATTTATGACACACGCATGATTATTGAATTCATTGTATATTATATATTATAAATATGCACCATGTAAAACAAATCACATTTTCTTTTATAATATTGAAAACTATATTTCAATAATTCAATGTAATTCAATATTACAATTCTTATTAATAATTATGTTAAAATATTCAATTGTTTTATTATTTATGTATAAATTATATACTATAATTCATTTTTTATATAAAATTTGAAGAGTATCAAATATTCAATATTTATAATCAAATTATTAAAAATTATTATAATAATATTTTATTATAGTTTTGATAAACATTTATTAACATTTAACATTTTCAATTTTTAGTTATTCAATTTTTAAAAATATTAACTTCATGTAGTTCAGTATTTAAAAATTTATTAACTTCATGAAGTTTGAATTGAATATTTTATTAAAAACAATTATTAATACGCTCATAATTGAATCCGAATAAGTAAAATTCTTATAAATAGTATAACAAAATATAATCGCACGAATTTCGTAAAGAACCTCTTTCAATGCAGTCTATCGCGATACTGTAAGGTTGAGAAGCTTGCCTCGTAGGCGATCTTCTTTCTGGAAGTTAGCGCCGACGCATCAAATATTAAATTTATTCGAACATCAAAAAGTAATTTTAATATTATATTAACACATATATAAAATTAAATATAACTATATTTGATTTAAAAATATTATACAGTCTTCATTTTCATGTTTAAAAAAATAATCCCAAAATATTTTAAATTCTCCAATATAAAAAATACTTAAAAAATTAAATTTGTAATTAAAATATTCGATTTTATATAGAGTTTATATAAATTTACTGCTATTTCTATGCAAAAAGGAATTAATCAGAAATATCACATATTTTAAAAATAAAATATATTTTAAAAATAATTTTAAAAATTTTAAAAATAACATCACATGCAAATTATGAGCAGAGAAAATGAAAAAAAAAATTTTTATCAATATTGAAAATTATATAAAAAATGAGATATTAATATATATTAATTATTTAAATTATATCAAATAAATGAATAATATTTTGAATTTTATATATTATAATATTATCTTGCTATTTTAAACAATTTAAATTGAGAGAAATAAGATTTTTAATTGAAAAATTAATTAAATTTTTTTTTATTTCGTTTATAAAATATATCTATTTTATAAATACGAAATAATTATATTTCTTATAATAAAAATGAAAAACAAGAACAAAAAAAACAAAATAAAATAAATAAAAATAAATTTGAGGATCTTGATACATTTATTAATATTTTTTGAAGTTATTAAATAATTGATAAGATATAATAATTGATAATTATAAGATAATTGTTCTGTATCAATTATTATTGTTAGTAATTATTATAAAAATATTATTATTATTAAATAAATTAAATTATATATTGGGTGTTTAGTAGTTCAAGATATTCTTGAAATTAATAAATTGAAATTTCATCAAATGATAGTGCACATCATTAATGATATTAAGTTATTCTATTTAAATCGCGTAAGAAAGATGATATAATTTATATAATTCAAAATATATAATGTTAAAATGATCACATATATAAAATTCTTTTTAAAATGCTTTTGTTAGTCTTTATTTATAATAATAATGTTGCATTAATTTTTAAAAAAATTTTGAAAAACTTTTTAAATGAATCTACAATTCAATCACTATATTAATTGGAAAAAACTATCTATGTATATGTATGTAATAATTTTTTTTTATTATATATTTTTATATTACAGAGCAAGGTGAAACGTGGTATGAAACGTGATCATGTTGATCACTGCTATTTATAATTACGTAAATGATATATAGCGCCAGTAAGTATGCTTTTCTAGCAAATGAATGAAGAGTATGTGTGTTTCATCAATAGTATGAAACAAAGTGCTTAATACTTTGTTTTATTTTTTTAGTGAATCCATTAATAATTATATAAATAAATT